ATACTTAGCAAATTGAACTTAAAACCTTAAAAAAAAATCAATTGAATGGTTGGGTGATTTTCCGGTTTTTCCCACGGCTACAATTTCTCCTTTGCCTTTGTCTCCAAATATCACCTTCCCACCACTAAATGGCCGAAGTGAGAGGAATAAAGATGAGTCTCCAGTCCTGTGCTTAGAACAACCACTGTCAAGGAACCAGTGATTGTTCCCCCTCACTTGGCGCTGTTCCTGAATCACGGGTTAGTCCGTGGAACCCAGACTTGCTTGGGTTCCATTTTGTATTTGTTTGAGGATGGATATCGAACATAGTCAAAACATCTTTCTAAGGTCTTTTGTCGAGAGTGACATTGATACCGAAGATGCCCGATTTTGCCACAATGCATGCAAACTCGGTTGTCATAGGTATCAACGTATTTAGGTTTCCACTTACCATAAAAGCCTCTTGTTTTCTTATGAAAAGTTCGGTTTGGCGTTTGTCCATAACCGTTTTTGTGCCTCTGAACCAGTCTATCGAACCAGTTTGGTCCAGTTCTAGGTGGTTGTTGATATGGTCTAGAACTGGGTTGTCCTCTGGTTCTATTTCCATTAAAGGATCGGTTCTGAAAATCAGGTTTTTTATTAGGTTGAGTGTTCCTTGGAATATAACCGAGACCAGCAGTCTCGTTTTCCTTCTTATTGTGCCGAGGGGGACCAGTTCCAGAATAAGGTCTAGACCTGGTTTTGTTCGTAGCACTATATGCTTGGTATTCCGGTCTATTTTTAAAATCTGTACACTCGGCAACAAGACGATGAAGATGATCAATCAAAGTACCAACGCTCGGAATTTTTGAGAGAAGTTTTTCATCATGATTAACTTGTTTGTTCATACTATCGAGCTTAAGAGAGCAAATGATTTGATCTTGTTCTAAAACCACTTCACTGTACTTAAGCCTTTCATCTATTAACTCTCCCACTTTTGTTTCAAGCCTTATCTTGGCTCTCGTGGCTTCCTCGAGTTTAGACTCAAGCTCAGTGATTTGTGATTTAAGATGATCATTTTCAGAAAGGTTTTGATTAAGCTCAATAGTCAATCTTTTGAAAATTTTCCGGGCTTTGGTTTTGGATAGAGAGTCAAACTTAGATAGAAAATTTTCAAAGTTTACCTCGAAGCTCTCTTGGTCGGATTCCTCGTCGGAGTGTGCCATAAGACATAGACCTGTATGGTTAGAGTTCTTATCACTCTCCTCTTCTTCGTCATCGGATGAGTCTCCCCATGCTGCCATCATTGCCCTTTTGAGATCTCTTTTGAACCCTTTGTCTTTGCTGGACCTCCGGTTAGAACTGGACTTGTTCTTGTCGTAGGTCCGGTCATTTTTCTTTTGTGAACAGTCTTTAGCCCTGTGCTCAAGGGAACCACAAACAAAACAGCCTTGGTTATTAAAAGATTGAAAGTTATTTTTACCTTGTTTGTTCCGGTTGTTCTTGAACCGTCGGTACATCTTCCCGAATTGTCTAGCAAATATGCTCATCTCATCTTCCGATTCACTTTCGGATTCTTCCTCCTCTTCTCGAGCTTTTAGAGCAATTCCTCTCTCTCGCCTTACAGTCTCAGCGTCTTGCTCTTCTTGAAGCCCTAACTCATATGTCAAGAGTGAACCGGTCAAGTCTTCAAGAGTCATGGTGGATAGGTCTTTTGCTTCCTCAATAGCCGTGGTCTTAGGCTTCCATACCGAGGGCAAGCTTCTCAAAATTTTTCTCACTTGATCTTCCACAGTAATTTCCTTTCCAAGGGCTGAAAGCTCATTGATGATATTAGTAAAACGTGTAATCATATCCTTAATTGACTCTCCAGGCTTCATTACGAATAATTCGTAATTACGCATAAATATGTCAATTTTAGATTTTTTTACACGTGAGGTACCTTCATGAGTAACCTCGAGCAAATCCCACATTTGTTTGGCAGACTTGCATCCTAGAACCCGGTTGTGTTCGGCAGGACCAAGTCCACAAATCAAATATTTTAGTGCTTGGGCATTATGCTCGAGTTTTTGATAATCATCAGTAGTAAATTCAGATTTAGGTTTAGGAACAACATTACCTTCGCCGTTTAGCTTTGTGATGACATTGTCGCCACCTTCTATCACATTCCATACCTGATAATTATCGGCTTTGATAAAGTTCTCCATCCGACTCTTCCAGAACTGATAGTATTTCCCATTGAACAATGGTGGTCGTTGAGTCGAGTAACCTTCTTCCAATCGGTCAACCGTATTCATTTTGCCGGATCTCTTCCCAAGGTATTAACCTCTATGTGGTGAAGACCGGCTCTGATACCAATTGATGAAAACGGTTAGCAACACAAGAGGGGGGGTGAATTGTGTGTGTGGAACCGTGGCAGTTTTTCGCCCAGTTCTAGTGCGGGGTGAAGGGTATTGCAAAATAGTAAAGTGCACAAGGATTTAACGAGGAAAAATCCCTTGGCTCAAAGGGATTAAAAAACCTCGACCTCCCTCGGAGGAATTTTAACAACTTCACTAAAAAGCCTTTGAATGATTACAAGGGAAACTCTCCTAGTCTACCCTTGAGCCACCCCAACTCTATCCTCTCTAGGAAGAGTTACGCTTCTCTACCTTGCGGGTAGAGAGCCTCTCAGCTTTACAACAAAGCTCTCACAACACACGTTACCCAACCCGAGGAAGCTACACTTAGCTAATCCTCAATAACCCAATTACAATATAGGAAGAGAATAAGAACTCTGTCTAGAACTCCGGGAGCAGTTTCAGGTGCCTTGAACTTTGTATTTCTCTCGAGTATCTCTCTTGATATTTTCTCGGTCAAGCACACCCTGCTTCTTCTTCTTGATCTCGATTATATAGTCTACTAGGAATGGATCCGTTGAGACACTTCTTTCCTTGAATGGTTGAGGAACTTGCCTTGAAATTATTCAAAATGCTTTCCTTTTATTTAAGGATCTTCTAGCTCTTAATTATGATGGTCCTTGGTCAACCATATATATGGGAGCAGGAGGATACGTGCATACCATGAGCAAGTCAAAAAGGTATAGAGCATATTATGTGATCAACCATTTAGTAATAATTCCACAAAGATATATATCAATGCATATCAAGGGAAGTTATTTATTCACTTAAACTATGCAAGCATGCAACGGATCATATTTCAAATAATATGCAGGAGAATATTTGTTAAATAGGTATGCACAATCAACTAGCTAATCAATTAAGGATTCTTTCCATAAAATAATAAGCTATAATAATAAATCATGCATGAAAATATATTTTTGCTTAAAATAATATTCTTGACAAAGTATAAGCACTCATATAAGGAAAGCACATATTAATTAAATCATACACCATGTAAATCAACCGTTCACACAGAATACAATTAAGAATAATTTTGTCTTCCGTTCCGTATGGAACTGAGAGCGGTTCCTTCCGCTGTTCCACCTGCATAGTTAGTCATTAATAAAACTACATACTCAACAGATTCTTTCCTTTGAGATCGGTCTTCTTAGATGGGCAAGATCAGGACTTGATGTACTATCTTTAATAGCTCGGATCTCCATATATATTTCGGTCCTCTTGCATGGAAATCATTCAAAAATATTTCCTTATAGGTATTAAAAGATATTCTTTTTATTTGATTGAAGGAAATCATTTTTCTTAAGGAAACATTCCTTGTGAGAAGATATGCACGAAAATCCTTTTTGAATTTTGAATAACAACAATTATTTTGGAAACTTGCTTTGTAGAAATATCTCTTAATTAATGCCTTTGATTTAAATAACTTTCCTTTAAAGAACAAATCCTTTCTTTGTATGATCATTGATTATTTTCTTGCTTAAAAGGTTCTCTTTAATTTAGCAAGATAGATCCGAAATTAAATGGAGAGAAAAGATATTTTAAGCAAGCCGGATTAATCAATCTTGGATTTACGGTGCAGTTCTCGGACCAGTTCTACGGCTTGTTCCAGAGCACGACTTAAACTCTTTTCATGTAGTCACTTACAACCAAAAGTAACACTAGTCGTTTGTCATCAACAAAACAATACGTTCCAACAAATTGCATGTAGAATAAATTAAGAGAGATCTAATTTGTTCTAGGACACATTCACACACACTTAATCGTTCGCTAAGAGATTAGTAGCGATTAAGGGGCCGTAAGCTCGCTCGTCTTGGCAATAATTTAGGATCCTGTCGCATGAGAGATCAGCCTGGTCCCCTAAATTATTGTACTCTACGCCGCAAGAGCGGTAAGAACTTAGTAATGATTAGCTAGGCTCAATTAAATTAATTTCATGTAATTAGGCCTGATCTGCCAGAAATCTGGTTACCCCGGAATCGATCCCTGTTCCCTTCGTCATTAATTAGAAAGAACCCCCTAGGTTAATTGTTCGCATTAGTTTTATTTTCCAAACCAACCAATCTCGCACGACGCTTTTATTTTATTTTCTTTTTAATCGCTGAATTTAATTAATTCTTGATTCCCTTTTGTCCGTCCCTGTGGAGACGATACTCGTACTTACACCACTATATTACGATCTATTTTAAGTGCGAGAAAACTCACATCACCATTATTAGTCAGCAGTTACCTTTTGTAATCGCCTATAAAAGGCAATTCAGATTTCAAATACAAACATGCTATTTCTTGCTCTCAAACTCTCTAGCTACTTTCCATATTCGTATTGCTTTCTACTTTCCTGCTTGAGTGTTCTTTCGTAGCTTTCCTAAAAGGCTACGAGCATCCTATTTTGGACCAACAAGTTATTCAATTGCAAACTTGGAAATAATATATGGGTATAACAAACACACAATATGTGAAATGATTATTTTAATAGGAGAAGATACACACAAACCATGAACAAATAACTAGAAAATATTATGAATTAGATAGTTGTTAAAGCACTATTAGTACACATCCAATACAGAACAACATAAACTTAATTAATAAGAACTATATCAACAACATAAACTTAATTAATAAGAATTATATCAATTTAAGTAACAGCAATGCTAGCTTCTTCATCTTCTTCATCTTCATCATCTTCATCATGCATAACTTCTTGTTCCATCATTGGAGTGACATCAACTCCATTATCATCATCAACTCCAACTTTGTGCAGGTTTGGTACATCAAATATTGCATCATTTGACGTATGTATACTATGATCAACATTATTTCCCATTTGAAACATATCCCTAACTTTGACATGCCTAACAACCAACCAATCCTTAGACTTGCAATCTCTAGCATAGAAGACTTTCTCAACTTGTGAGGCTAGAACAAAGAGGTCATCAAGCACATTTGTTCATGTGTGTGCCAAATACGAAAAGTTAACCAGCGTTGTACCCATATCATCTCGCTTCACACCTCTATTCACATCAACCCAATCACATCTGAACAAAATCACTCGTAGTTTACCAGAATAGTTCAAATCAATTATGTCTTTCAATGAGCCATAATAGTTGATCATACCAAGAACTGGTTGTTTATCACGGGAGCTAGCATAACATTCACTCTTTACCGTTACAACAACGCCACTATTTTGTGATTTCAAGAATTTCTCATGATCCATTGTATGGAATCGATACCCTTTAACAAAATAACCACAATATGTCTTTGCAGAGGTGTGGGGGCCAAGAGCAAGCCATTTAATTTCCTCACTCACTCTTGCATCACCTTCTTCTACTAAACGAGAAACCTACATCAATAATGCAGAGTGTCATAACATAGAATATATTATTAAAATAATGTATCACATAATAACATAATATACTAAAAATTACCCTTTTTGGAATCATTCATTAAATTCTTGGCAATGAAGTCTTTCAATCTCATATTCGGGTCGTCGCCGTGAACTATTTCAATTCTTAACGATTGATTTATGTTCCCTTAAATAAATCAGTATTATTGATAAACATGTCAGGGAATAGTTCAACACTAGGAAAAAGAATTATATAAATAAAAATGTTCACTTACTCTCTAAATGGCATGACTAACTCGACATTAAATAAGACATAACGATGTGCTTGTATCAGCAACTTCTTGTAAAGCACACAACGAGATACTCTCTTTCTCTTTCGAAAAGAGACATTACAATCTCTGCTTTTTCTTAATGGACGCCCAGGACAAAGTGAGTTTAACTCTTCAATTTCATTATGCTCACCCTCATCGTCATTTCTCACAGGTCGAGTAAACAATGTCTCAACAACGGAGAGATAGCGAGAGACAAATGTTAAACTTTCCATAGCTAAATAACCTTCAGTGATTGAACCTTCTGGATAAGCTCTATTATGAACATATGACTTCAGTGTGAGAAGTTCCCTGAAAAATTATTGATACAGTAAGATGCCAATTTATCTAAGAACAAATATAATTAATATTTAAGATAAATGAAATTGGTTTTAAAATCACTTACCTTTCAACAGAATGCATCCACCTAAAAGTTACTGGACCTCCCATCCTCAATTCTTCAACCAAATGAACCACTAAGTGCACCATAACAGTAAAGAAAGAAGGACATAGTTCAATTGTGCATAAGGTTAGTGTAACCTTCTTTTCAAGAAACTGGATGTCATGTTTAGACAAGTTCTTACAACAAATTGCCTTAAAAAAATCACACAGTTCAATGATAATTGATGAAACATTGTCTGGCAATGTCCCCCTTGAGGCAATAGGTAGATATTCTTGCATCAACATGTGACAATCATAACTTCTTAGCCCTAAAAGTTTTTTATCCTTCAATTGCACACAACAAGAGTTTTCAAGAAAGCCTCCTTTTCTGATCAAGTCATTTGGTAGCATGCTCGAGCAAGCACGTTATATTGCTCACTTGACGCTTTTTCGGGTGAAGTTCTTTTTTTATACCCATTTTTTGTAAGTCTAATCTTGATTTGTAATTGTCTTTAGACTTTTTACCCTGTCCCAACAAAGTTCCAAAAATGTTCTCGCACACATTTTTTCTATGTACATGACATCAAGGTTATGGGTTATGACGCAACAATAAATGTTTCTGGTAAGGCAACATAAAGAAAATGCTTTTTTTTCATGGACCATTATTGACATTATAACTCACAAACTCAAGCTCGTCTAAGTGTTGAAAAGCTGAATGCCCAGAAATAGGTGTAGGTGTGACCTGTAGCTCTTGCTCTCCATTAAAAGCTTGAGTCTCAAACCGCCACCTATGGTTAGATGGAAGTCATCTCCTATGACACATATAACAAAACTTTCTTCCAAATTGAAGCCATTTTGAAGCAGTACCAAATCCACATATAGGACATGCAAATTCTCCCTTGGTACTCCATCCTGAAAGGTTTGCATATCCAGGAAAGTCAGGAATTGTGTAAAGTAATGCTGCTTTCAGCCGAAACTTATCTTTAGTAGTCACATCAAGTCTCAATTCCATCCTCCCACAACTCTTTTAACTCTTTCAACAATGGCTGCATATATACATCAATCTTATTCCCAGGGCCTTTTGCTCCAGGAATAATTAAAGAAAGAATGAAATTGGGTTGTTTCATGACCAGCCACGGAGGTAAGTTACAAGAAATTAAAAAAAAACTGGCCAAATACTATATTTAAGATTCATTGTCTTGAAAGGGTTAAATCCATCACTTGAAAGTGCTAACCGAATGTTGCGTGGATCATTGGAAAACTCAGGATAATTCTTGTTAAAATCCTTCCATGCTGCACCATCAGCCGAATGTCTCTATTTTTCATCATTTATGCGTTTACTATGATGCCAATTTGTAAGGTTAGACGTCTTTGAAGACATAAACAATCTTTAAAGCCTTGGTTTCAAAGGAAACCAACGCAAAATCTTTGCTGCCTTCTTATTTTGGGCGTTTACTATCTCACCAGTATTATCTGTAGAAGCAAGCCATCTTGATTGTCCACAAATTGAACATTCATTTTCTTTCTCAGTATCATCCCAGAACAACATACAATCATTTGGGCATGCGTGGATCTTTTCGTAGCCTAAACCTAGGTCTCCAAGTAGCTTTTTAACTTGATACGTTGTTTTGGGCATCAAATTTTGATCTGGCAACAAATCTTGTAAGAACTCCAGTAACATAGTGAATGACTTGTTGCTCCAACCATTCAAGCACTTTAAATGGAACAAGTGTACCAAACAAGAAAGCTTGCTATACTTTGAATTTGGATATACCTTCCTTTCAGATTCCTTTAAGAGGTCAAAAAACTTGTCAGCTCTAGTTTCATAGCTCTCTGGATCACTGAAGTTACCCAAACCCGTACTCCCTTCACACTCCTCCATATTAGGTGTACCTACTTCTTCATGGGCCACTGAAAATAAATCATTTAATAGTCCTTGTGTGTCAAGTCTAAAAGTCTCCGCTACATTATTAGGCGCAGACCTTGAAAATGATGATGTTTGATGTTCTCCATGATCTATCCATTTTGTGTATTCTTTTCAGAATCCATTACATATTAGATGATCAAATACTTCCCCTCGAGTATGATAAAATTTGACTTGATCTCTCAAAAGCAAATTTGATAAAGCTCTCCACTCCATTTATGAACTGTTCACTTGATCTTGGAGCAGAATACATCCAAGATCTATCCACCATGATTCTAAAGGTAGACTTAAACTAAAAAGTAAAGAACCATTAAGTAAACATCTAAGTATATAGTGACATAACGTTATACTAAGTATGTGAAATTTAAGGATATGGGAACAGGTGAATATTCGCATAAGAATGATTACCTTCGATATTAGGTTGTAATAAGCATATAAAAGAGAGTGTGACTGAAAAGAAGATATAATACATCTTGCAAAAGAAAAGATCGAGCTTGGAAGACAAGGTCAGGAGTTCAGGACGGACACTAGAGAAGAGATTAGAAAAAAATGTCATATGCGTTTGGTGAGAAAATGTAAGGCATTACAAAAAAACACGGACGTAGTCACGGATTTAGTCACGGACCCTAGAATAAACAATCCGTGACTAACTCTGCTAGTCACGGATTTTTTCCGTGACTAAATCCGTGACTGTTCGGGCGTGACTATTCTAGTCACAGCCAATTTTCCGTGACTAAGCGTAGTCACGGACCCGATCTTCGGGCTACGGCTTGAGCGCCGTCGATGGGCTCTCCTTCCTCTACTTTCACCTTCTTCGAATATCTCGCCATTGCTTCCTCTGCTTATGCTTTCTCGACTCAATAACCGTCACTTCCTAGTGTACATTTATTATAGCCATCTCGTAATATATTATGAATCGGGGAGACTATGATCACGCGGTAGCATTCCTCCTACTTACTGCAAAACTCTGGACATGCAAGTTTCAGGGAGATTGTATCCATGGCCAGTCCTAGAGGGAGGCCAGCAGGGGCGACCGCCTTAGGCCCGAAAAAAGTAGGAAAAAAAAAATTAGGCCTAATTTTTTTTCTTTATATGTAATATAAGTATGCTTCTTTTTTTATTTATAATTTCAATTAATTAATTAGGCCTAATGTTTAATTTTTGTTGACAATTTGAGAATTTTAAAACCTAAGTAAAAAGTCTTGAACAAAGCTAGACAAGTTTTTAAAAAGAATATAAATTTAGTTTTGATTTTTAAATAGAGTTGGTTGTAAGTCAACACATTTGTTGTTGAATCAATAAAAGCACGTCTCTTCACATCTTTTTAGCCTTTAAGATTTTTTACTCTTTTAATTACAAAATTACCAATTTATATTACTGTGTTTGGGATGCCGGTGCCTCACAATTCTCAAACATCATCCCAATTATCTATTATGCCTCAAAAAACTTAATGGATTGACAATTTTAAACATTGCACGTGTGATCTTGGAAAAGATTGATTATACAGCAATTATTTATGATTTTACTTCACAATGTTCTTTTGTGATACATGTGTTACGTTGTTACTTTTGTCCAAATATGCAATTCAAATAATATGAAGGTGAATTTCATCTTTATTTTATAACCTTTACGGAGTATTAGATAGTTGTAGGGAGAATTCCCGAAATAGGAGTAATCGTTTTTTAGAATTTCAAAATAGGACTGTCGTGTGTTTATTTTCTGAATAGGAGTAATTACTGTCATGTTCGAAAAATACTACCATGTGTAAAAAAATACCGATACTGCCAAAATATGACATTTATTACTTCCATTTAGAGAATAAAACATGATAATCTTAGTTAGGAATATACAAACGTTTTTAGTCGTATTTAGAGTAATTTATCCTAGTTTTATTATACTCCGTAATTTTTACTTTAAGTAAGTATAATTTACTGTTTGTCTAGGAAGTAAGGTCAAAATAGTATATCGCCCATAGGCCCAAAACAGGACAGGACCGACCCTGATTGTATCCAACTTTTATGTTCATAAACTCTGTAACGGCGGATAGCTGAGAGTATCTCTCACAATCAGCATACAGAGGCTGATCGGCAGCTTTTAAAACATCTTGAAATCTCTCAGCTAAACCTTCATCCACATATGCCTCGAGGAAAATTGATTGCATTCTGTACAATACCACAATTTTATCATACATCCAACTTCTATTTTGCCTATACATTATGCCTGAATATTATGATAATAAAAAAATATATTGGTTAAAAACTTTAAATCATAAACATTATCAACAATTTGTTATGTTAAATATTTTCACTAATTCATACGTAGGAGCATTAATATATTCAATTTTACTAAAGTTCAATGCACTACAATTACGTAACGTTCAATTAATATTATTAAATAACTATATCTACTAATACGTTAATGACATTAATCATTTAAATTATTAACTAATAATCAATACATTAACACTAAATAATCAATATTAATTGTTAATGGCAATAATAATTTGATATGTTTAGGAACATTTATTTATTAAATTTCACTAAATTTCCCTAAAATTAACTAACTTCCAATGAATTTATGTGGAGTATTATTAATATATTCAATTTCACTAAAGTTCAATGCAATTGAATATTATTAATCACAATAATGTTCAATTAATATTATTAATTAACTAGAACTAGTTAATACGTTAATATACTGTCATTAATCATTTCAATTATTAACAAATAACCAATATTATGATTTCAACACTAAATACACTAAATTATTACGTTAATGACATTTAATCCACAATACTAAAATTATCAACATATTATTAGTAATACACAATTAACAATTCACTAAATTAAATAATATGACCAAATCCAATAATTTGAGCATATATAAACTCATTTGAATTAATAAATAATACACAATTCACAATAACAATGCACAAAATATAAGTAATGTTTTAATCCAAACTAAATTTAACTAATTCATTTCGTTAATTAATTAACAACCTTTTTTGACTTGCGTTACGTTTAGCTAACTAATTTGACTTAACACATCACTACGTTTAAACATACGTTTAAACCTGCGTTACGTTTAGCTAACTAATTTGACATAACACATCACTACGTTTAAACCTACATTTAGCTAACTAATTTGACTTAACACATCCCTACGTTTAAAAATAAAAATAATAATTCAAATAATATACTTTATCTGCATAAATAGGGAAAATGACATAAGATAGACTACATCCTTCGATTTTTCAAACAGATACTGTATTATATACTAGGAATGAATTGGTGTGGTTCTGTTGAATGAGTTGCTCTTGCATATATAAAAAATCTAGTCACGGACTTAGTCACGGATTTGTCCGTCACTAAGCAAATTCGTGTACATTACGCGTCCAAACCGTGTAAATGACGTGTAAATTAAATATTATTCGATTTAGTCACGAAATTAGTCAAGGAACAATAATTGCTAATAATTCACAATAACAATTCACAAAATATAAGTAATGTTTTCATCAAAACTTAACCCATCACAAATCCTAATTTAGGCATTAACATTAAATGCTAATAATAAAATCTAATAATTTGAGCATATATATATATATATATATATATATATATATATATATATATATATAGAGAGAGAGAGAGAGAGAGAGAGAGAGAGAGAGAGAGAATAGAGATCAAATACAAACCCTTCTTAATTTACAAAGTACAAACTCATATTGACCATCCGATGAGTTGATCCAAAGGACATAAAGGCAAGGTGGTATTTTGTAATAAAACCCAACTTTTTTAGGGTGCAACTCGTTGAACGTTAATGTGCAACTGCTATTTTATGGCTGAATAATATGCACTACTTTGAACCTCAATATGCAATACAAAGAACGTTAAGGTGCATCGTACAAATGTTTGCACAATAAGCACAATTTGTACTTGATCTTTCCCCTATATATATATATATATATATATATATATATATATATATATATATATATATATATATATATATATATATATATATATACCCATTTGAATTAACTAATACTTAAATTTAACTAATATTATTAAAAAATTAAGTAATTTAACTTTACATTTAAATTAATCCTACGTTTAACTAATTTTAACTAATTCATTTCGTTAATTAATCACCAACCTTTTTTTTACACATTACAATTAACTAGTATTTAAATTTAACTAATATTATCAAAAGCTACACTAACTTAACTAAATAATTTAACTTAATTATTTAAAACCTACGTTTAGCTAACTAATTTTACTTAATTTAACTTAATGCATCACTACGTTTAAAACTACGCTTAGCTAACCAATTTTAATTGAATTATTTTATGAACCTAAAAATTTAACTAATTTTATGACATCACTACGTTTATAGTTAAATATACTGTTAATTAATTAACAATCTCACTAATTTAAATTGAATCAACTAATTCTAAATAAAAAGAATTCAAATAACATACCTTAATTATCTGCATAAACAGGGAAAATGGCATAAGATGGACTACATCCTTCGATCTTTGAAACAGATACTAGTCACGGATTTTTCCGTGACTAAATTATATTTGCCGTTGCGAAATAAATTTTGAGCACTGGAAATTTAATTTTTTTTAAGTCACGGACGTAGTCACGGATACGTCTGTGACTAAGTCGCCGGAATAAAAACGGACCTACCGGCGACGGAGTTGGGGCTACCGGAGGACTTTAGTCACGGTCCGTAGTCACGGATTTATGTAGTCACGGACTTAGTCACGGCCAAATCCGTGACTAATTTTTTTTTCAAAAATCCGTGACTAGTCCGTGACTAGCCCGTGACTACGCTAGTCACGGACGAAATCCGTGACTAACGTCCGTGACTACAGGCGTGTTTTTTTGTAGTGAAGGGTCCTAAGGGAGTTACTTAAATACCCTTAGCATGAGCGAAAATTTTAATGAAACACTTAGTTCATTTTGTAATTAGTATATATATATATATACAAAGACAAAATATGATATGTACACAAAAAGTGTAGAAACGTGGGTCACGATATCGGATTTCGCAACGTAACCCGACCTGCATTGTTGGGGTTCTCATGTTGGTAAAAAAGAATATAGGAATTAGCAATGTAAGGTATGGAATTAGTTGAAAAAAATACAGATAATAATTGTAATAAGCCTAGAAAAAAATTAAAATAGACAAGACAGGTTCATATAACTCCTTTCACATTAGTTATAGACACAAAAACTGTATCTGAAAAATCATCATCAACTGAAAAGCTACACAAAGCTTTAGGTTGAAACAACAAGCTTTAATAAGGTTCAAATAATAGAGTAGGAAATATCATGTTTTAACATTATACTTCAACAAACTGCAAGTCTCCAAAAGGGAAATGTTCAATTAGGAAACTCACATGTCAACTTAATTCAGAACCATCTAGTTGGTTTCAAAATTGACAGATCAAGCTTGATCACTTAGTTGAGTAGAGTATATAATATAGAAATCAATCTGTTCTATACAATGGTATAGACAGAAAACCTAAATATGATGTGATTTTGTTAATTAGGTTTATAAGACTAAGAACTGAGGCATAAAAGAATTTGTCTTAACTCATGATCTCCATTACAGATTTCATCATTTATGTATCAAATGTTTAAAATATGGACACATCAGAGTACGAATCCATGAAAAATACAAAGCTCTATTTAATATGCTGGATCAACACAAGGAGGCCTGAATATTAAATCTGGTAGACATAGATCAAATATTAAATCACTAGTAAGCAATAAACAAGTCACTCCAGCAGAAATTAGATCAAATACGTGCAAATTAATCAGAGAAACAGGCTAGAATAGAAGAGAATGCATAGACTATTCTTGGTTTCTTTCAAAAAAAAAAAACTATTCTTGGTTTCTTGTTTTCTTTTTTTCTTTTGCAAGACAGAAGTTATCTATCTCATAGAACGGGCAGTGTTCGAGTCAGAACAGGCCTGCAACGGAGACTTACCAGGTATATACGAAGCATCAACATTTCATTTAAGCTGATTCTAGAGTCTATTCCATTTAACAAACCGCACCTTTGGTTTACTTCGCTTTTTACAACCCGAAGAAATCAGCCCTTTGGAGATAAAAAAAGTCATAAGTTTCATAACTCATACTCCGTATTTGTCTTTAATTAATCTTTTCAGCTTAAGTATCACATCAAGTTTGATGCAAGCTAAATGCACTCAGAATTGATTATGTGGGTATTTATTTTATTTTTAGTTAACACAAGTGTGCTAATTATTTTGTGAGACACACTCTAGTACTTATCCATGTTTATTGGTATTCATGTTGTTTTATCATATGAGTTCATATTATTCAAATTAAATTTAACTGTTTCTTTTAAATTATTTAATTTTCATGTATTTTTGTTTAGCCATTTTCTAAACAAAAATATTGTGTTGGGAAAATGGAAATTAATAATCCAACATTTGCACCTCATCTTCATTCGTTGATCCCCGGTCGGGTGATGGCCTGCTATTCCACGTTTTTTCATTTTCTTTGCAAACCATTCAACCATAAATCCCATCTTTCACAAATCTTCACCAAACAGTCCCACATATCATTTTTCTTTTTTCTTCCTAAAACTTTTCCTTTTTTATTTTTATCGTCTTCACTACTCTTTTATTCCCCTTTTTGGTCTTCTTATTCTTATTTTATCACTTTCCTGTTTTTTTAATGTTTATGTATTCCATTTTTCCTTCTTTTTCTTCTTTCCGTTTATTATTTCATTTTCATTTTTATATATTTTTTCGGATTAGTTTTCTTATAAAATATATTTTTCTCACCGCACTAACTTTTTACTTTATTTTCATTTTGGTACATAATATAAACTGTTTTTTAATATTCTTGTGAATTTGCAATTTCACAAGCACATGTTTGATCATTCCCTTAGTTAATTCTTACCTTTGTTCTACCACTAATATATACGGAGTATTTGAGAAAATAGCACCAAAATAGGACTAAACTAATCCATAAATACACAAATATGACTAAGTTATTTATCTTCCCAAAATAGGACTTAAGTACCATCTATCTTCTTATTCTACATTCTACCCTTACCATAACCTAATAGTATAATCACATTTTACATTAAAAAAAAGGTATTTCAATTTATAAAAATATAGCAACAAAATAAAGTAAATGTGAATGATTTATATTTTGTAAGTAAATGTAGACATTATGATTTTTATAAGCAATATATCACCAGTCATACACAAACGTCTAGCAGTACTGGTCTCATTAGTGACCTTAGTCTCTTTAGTGTTTAGCAACCGCAAACACTCCCTTAATATGCCAGTTTAGGAGAAATACAATACAACACTAATACGTAGTAAAGTGTAGTAAGGTTCGTATCCACATGGAAATGAATACTTTTCTTTTATGTAACTAGTAACAAAAGGGTTTTAGATTGTTGAAGAACTTAATAGTTTTTAAACACCAAGTTGAATGACTTATGTGGTTTACTTAATAGAGATGAATTACGGAAAGAAAAAGAAAACGACAAAAAAGAGCTATTTTGAAGACAAAGTTTACAAAAAAAAAAAAAAAAATCTCATAATAGAGTAAGAAATAGAATAGACCAAGCATTCCAGGCCAGCTGGTTGTGAGGTTACCATTCCTAGTGGGAGGTCTCGAGTTCGAAACCCGCTAGGCACATAGGGGTTTGAAAATCAATGGAGTGAGTTTCAGCCCTAATTACTCCAGGCCCCCCAGCCCCCCTCCCTCAGACCCCCCTGGCCTGGAGTATTAAAAAAAGTAAGAAATAGAATAATAAAAATGGAAAAGAAATAAAAAGTGTCTAGGGATGAAAATAAAGAAAGAAAATTTTAAGGAGAAAAAAGAAAAAATGAAACATGGGACCGTTTTGAGCAGATTTGTGAAAGGTGGAATTATTTATATAAGGTTTTCAAAGAAAGGGTAAAAAATCTTGCATAGTAGGTTATCAATATGTCAGAGTCCAACGAAACGTGAGATTATTCTGGTATTACGTAAATGCGTGATTATTATGAGAAGATCAGTGAAATGTGGAATTATTCTTGTCAATTTTTCCTCTTTTTTTGAAAATGTTAGATTGAATATACCATGAATTGGTTTGATATATAATATATATACTCCAGTTTTTTTTCAGCCATACCAAAAGATAACATGTGGGGTAAGATTTTGGATTTTTTCGCTTTCAGCAAAGCGGTATAGTCTGAAAATAATCACCAGTATTAGTGGTGTCTATGATTTCCAGATTCATCATCAATCATCATTCGTTTGATAATAATCACCAAAGTATGCACTAACACTATCGTTTGGGTTTGGAAGTCCTAGGCACCGAGCCCCAAGTCTTTTAACCATTAATTTATCAATTTCATTTTTTTTTAAGTTTCCAATTTCATTTAAAATTCTAATTTTTTCGATACTTTATATTTGCTTCATGTATAGTCAAATTCGTACCAGATACGTGTAATATTTACGATTATGTTTTGACAGAAAAAATAATCACATGGATTTCAAAATGTTGCTAACTTGATGTTAGATTTGAGAGTTGCATTATGCATAAGAAACTCTTGTTGTTTTGGTCTTTTGGACAACAAGTTATTTTCCTATACAACACAAGTAGATAAGATAATGCGGAATAGATGCTCTGACAAATGTACTAAACTCACAATAATGATTGCTGACATGGCACTAACCATTTGACCATAAGAAAGTGGTATCTTGATTTGTAAAATACGTAGTACCGAGTATGTTTAAAAAGTAGAGGTGGGCGCGGTCTGGTCCAATATTTGGTCGAACCCGTACCCGTACTGTGATTATTCAAACGTTTCGGTTTGGTCTTAGACCTAAATCCATTCGGTATGATTTCATTTTGAAACAACACGGTACCATGTCATACCAATACCAATACCAATAACCAACAACACTTGATTTCATTTGATTTCAAGTATTTTTTTGTCAACCAATGTTAAAGTTAAATTCTCTTACTGATAATTAATTCAATTTTTTAATAAGTTAAATTTACATATTTGGAAACTACATTAAAATCTCTTCAAAGTTGCAAGCTTCATTTTAAATATAATTAAAAATTGACATTCGAAGTATGGAACTGTTTGATCATGAAAAGTTAATTTTGCAAATCAATTTGGGACAAAGGTAGTATTAGATAATTAATAAATTTAAGATAAACTATAGTAGTACAAATTTAAATAATTAAACCATACATCTATCTGATTTCAGGCTTCCTATGAACTAGCAAAGGCGGTGAAAGTGTGAAGGCACTAGTCAAAGTAATGTTATAAATGTAAATTTAAATAATTAAACCATACTTCGGTCCGGGTCGGTCCGGTACCGGTTCTTACTTTATGAGAACCGGTCATGGCATTGTTTACTACCGGTACGGTCCGGTTCGGGACAAAAAATTTGAGATCCGTTTCAAACCCTTTTTTTCGGTTTGGTACCATGTCGGTTCGGTATTTTTGTCCACCCCTAGTTTAAAGTAACTCGGAATTAGGAAATAAGATTGAAAAATATTCTTTTTTAAAAAAAAACAGATGAATGTTGATTCTCTAAATTTCCCTAAATAGAAGCAAAGAGGTTTTAAAATTTCAAAATAAGAATGTTATATTTTTCTTTTTGAAACAATAGTTGTTAATGTCATAATTCAAAAATATTGCCACTAATAGTAGTAAATTTTGTCTTATTAATGCATAGTATTGCAGCTATTTTAACAATAACGGCTCCAGATTGCTGTAACTACTGCTATATTATGTTTATTTTCAGAAAAAAATACAACAGTGTTAGTTTAGAATTTCAAAACTTGTTTACTCCCCTAAGTTGAGCTAAAGTATGGGATTGTAAGATACATTTTGATAATAAAATCAAGGGAAAAGGGGCAAATAAGCCCTCAAACTAATAAAAAAAGTGCAAATAAGCCCTTTTATAGGAGGTTCCGTCTGGCCATCGTAATTTGGGGAGGTTCCCGGTGGAATTTCTTGATGAAAATTCTTGAGCATCTTATTCATTAAGTCTAGTTTAGTCATACCGAATTTTAGCTAAAAATTCAATCGGGAAGACAGTCAAATGAATTTTTGAAGATAACTGCGCAGTTAAACAACACAGTATATTTTTGAAAATCATTTGAGTGCCTTCCCGGTTTAATTTTTAGCTGAAATTTGGTATGGCTAAACTAGACTTGATGAAGAAGATGCTCAAAAAAATTCATCAAAAAATTCCACCGAGAACCTCCCCAAATGACGATGATCAGTCAGAACCTCATACAAAAGGGCTTATTTGCACTTTTTTGATTAGTTCGAGGGCTTATTTGCCCCTTTTCCCTAAAATCAAACTTGTTTTATGTGCAATAGAATCTCAATATGCAAAATTTGTCGTCCAAACGTTTGCACTTTGTATTATCCATCTCTACGCTTATCTATCATGGGTGACGTTTTCTCAGTGCCGCCCCAAATATGCACCGCCCCACACGCCCTTTTCGATGTCTTTCAGAAAATGCTGCAATATTATCATCGGCAAGATTACAAAATGTAGAGTCTAATCTGAATAAGCAAATATGTACGAATAATTCGAGAAATCAATCAATGGTACACTTGATCCTTCATCTACTTTGCCTTTTCGTACGAGTGTATTTGGGACCCTGATGGACAGGATCATCCACAGCCAACGGTAACTGATGTGTAGGACATCAAATTCAGGATTCTTTCTAGTCTAGAAATAATGATAAACATGCCACTACAAAAACTTATGGTCTTCCATTTATTTTTCTCATTTAGAGTTTACCGAGTATGCTCTTTCTCTCAATATTTATATTTATATTGAAATTTAGATTACTAATATTATCTTAGAGAATATTGCCTGAAATAGGACTAAAAGGTTTGGAAATTCCAAAACAGGACTTTCATGTTTTTTTTCCCAAAATAGGACTAATTATGTCATATTTTGGCACTACCAGACTTCAAACATGACAGTATTTTCCAAACTTGACAGTAATTACTCTTATTTTGGAAATAAAAAACATGACAATCCTATTTTAGAATTTTCAAACTGTTTTAGTCAAATTTCAAGAACTTTCCCATTATCTTATTAATGCCTAGTATTGTAGAACCTGTTGTTACGGTATATTTCCTATTGTTTTTTTTTGGATGAACCGTAAATGTATATA